AACCCGGAAGGCGAGACGGACCAACGGCACCCAGTTTGGTCGTCAGTGACTTCATCTCCCGCTGCCAAGTCAACTTCTGTCCACCTCGAGCCTTGCGCCACCCTACACCTGACAGACTAAACAAGGCCCTCCTAGGTAAACGGTGACCAGGCATGCGTAGCACATGCCCGAGCCAACGCAAGTTATTCAGTGCTATCTGTTGTTCTAGGGAGCTAGCATGATTATCACCACCTAGTACTCGCCTACGCACATCATCGTTGCGGACACCCTGGTGCCATCCGACACCAGCAATGCTTCGCAAACAACGATGATCAAAGACTTGAAGGCGCCTCAGATCTTCAGACCGAAGGGGCCAAGTTTCACTACCATAGAGCAGAACGGCCCTCACTGTGGCCTTGTATACACGGCAGTTCAGACGGAGGGAAACTCCCTTCTGTCGCCAAAGATGCCGCAGGTTCAAGAAGGTAGCTCTGGCTTTTGTAATGCGTGAGCTGACGTCAGTTTCTATGCGCCCATCATTGCTGATGTAGCTGTCAAGATAAGTGAAATGATCAACTACTTCGAGTTTCTCGTTAGCAAGCGTCAAGGGGTCATCAAGTGGCTGGTGGTCCTGCAGCAACACTTTGCACTTTGAAGGTGCGAAGTGCATACCAAATTCAGTTGCTCATTTGTTCGCCGGGCTGCGAAATTGGTTTGCAAACGTTTCACCGTCATGCGAGACGGCATCATCAGTGCGTCGAGATGTGGTGTGTAATCTCGCTGATTGAATTGTCGACCCGTGATCGGTGTGCAGGTGACATTTCGAAAGTGACGGCTTCGATCTGTGTCCCGTGATCTCTACCCATTTCCCCGTGGCGGAGGTCGTCGTTTGGTTTGTTCCTATTCAAGCGGCGTCTCATAATTTCTCTAAGTTCTCTCCGTCGGAGGGATTGGTAAACTGGGTCAATCTCGATATGCATGTTGATCGAGTCTTGTGTTGAGAACCACGCTTCCAGGAATTCCCTTGCTCTTCTTGTTTCAAAGCAAGGGAATTCCTGGAAGCGTGGTTCCCAACACAAGACTCGATCAACATGCATATCGAGATTGACCCAGTTTACCAACCCCTCCGACGGAGAGAACTTAGAGAAATTATGAGACGCCGCTTGAATAGGAACAACCCAAGCGACGACCTCCGCCACGGGGAAATGGGTAGAGAGCACGGGACACAAATCAAAGCCGTCACTTTCGAAATGTCACCTGCACGCCGAGCACGGGTCGACAATTCAATCAGCGAGGTTACACCCCACATCTAGACGCACTGATGATGCCGTCTCGCATGACGGTGAAACGTTTGCAAACCAATTTCGCAGCTCGGCGAACAAATGAGCAACTGAATTATCAACCCGAGCTACCAGTTTTCCAATGCATACCAAATAATGGGGCCACACTGGACAGGCTATTCAGGGTTGGTTGTGCCGCCCCAACACCGTCGAAAAGCAAGACAATATCGTCCGCATAATCTAGATCAACTAACCTTCCACCAGGTAGCACTTCGTGAGATTCCGCAAGGGAACGCTCCATGATAGACTCCACGACGAAATGGAACAAAAATGGGGAAATCGGACAACCCTGACGAACGCCACTTGTGGTCGGAAAGCTACCCGACAGCTCACCGTAGACCCTGACGCGGCCTGTAATGTTCGAGTATAGAGCACGAAGGATGTTCACATATTTTGTGGGAACACCTTTCCGCGCAAGTATTTCGAACAGAATCGATCGATCGACTGAATCGAATGCACTCTTAAAATCGAGGAACACAACTATTGTCGATCTGCGATATGCGTGGCGCTGCTCTAGCACATCTCACAAAGTGTATATATGGTTTATACATCCACGCCCTGGGCGGAAACCGGCCTGCTCTTCTCTAATCCGAGATTCCCGTTCCGCAGTGAGGCGACGAACGATAATCGAGGCCAGTAATTTTGTCACAACTGGCGTTAGGCTAATACCCCTGTGGTTCGGACAGTCTGTGCGACTGCCCTTCTTGTATATTGCCACTATAATCGGTTCGCTCCAATTAGCAGGCACACTCTCTTCGTTCCAGATACGTTCGAATAGGGAGGTCAGTGCTTTGCAGAGGAACTCACCTCCATCCTTAAATAGTGCACGTGGGAGGGAATCCGAGCCAGCCGCACGAAAAGGATTAAGGGCTGTGATCGCGTTTCGGACCTCAGCTTCCGACGGAGACTCTAAACTAACCGTCAATGGCTCGTCCTGCATCACCTGAGTAGGAAGAGGTCCGCGAGCAGGGGGCCAGCTGAACTGATGTTCAAAGTGTTCCGCCCAACGAGCCATACGGCGCTCCTTATTGTGTATCAGTGCACCCGCGCTATCTCTGAGTGTCTCACTGACGCCTGGTTTTCCGGAACCAGTGGTGCGGATAAGCTGGAAGAGCTTGCGGTAATTGCCTACTGCTCCTGCCTCCTCCATTTCTTGAGCCCTACTGGTCCACCAGGCTACCTTGTCAGCATGTAGGCTCCGCTTTAATTCACGCCTAATAGCCCGTCTGGTCACATTGTGTTCAGAACCAGCCGGGAGGTGTCTTCTAGATTCCAACAGGTTCACCGACCTCTCGGATATCCAGTGACTGGTGCGATGACGATGGATAGTGCCACAAGCAGATACTCCTGCGTCGTGCATGGCGGCCGAGATCCTATTCCACTGAAGCTCAGTGTCATTAGGACAAGACAGTGCTTCTTGATAGGCTTGCCTGACCGAGGGCTGGGAGAATTTCTCCGTTGCCAATCGGGGGAGACGCTTATGCGCCTCCCGGTAAAGTTCATGGAGAAACGACAGCGCACCAAGGCATGGTCAGAGTCGACACAGGTACTCCAGTACGAGCGGCAATCCAGAATGGAACCACGACACCTGTAACTTATGGCTATGTGGTCAATTTGGGTCCATCGCTGACCAGCTACAGGAGGACGACAAGTGGCACTTCGGCGCCCACTGTGTCTAAAAAGCAGTGCTAGTAAGAAACAACTGGTGCTCCGCACACAGTTGCAGCAGACGCTCACCGTTGTCAGTCCGTTCGGAGTTAAGTCCATACTTACCACCCAGCTGAGCTTCTGAAGAGCTCAGACGCCCTACTTGTGCGTTCATATCCCCTGCAAGTACTATAATATCTGAACTAGTAGCACTGCGTAGTAGCGCGTTCAGTTCGTGATAGAATGTGTCCTTGACAGCATTAGAACTGCAGTCCGTGGGAGCATAAGCAGAAATCACAAACAAACAGCGTTTTGTTTTACTTCGCGAATTCACCTTAGCTGATTTCGTCAAACGGGTTGCACATAAACGGCTGTTCACCGGAATCCAATCAACCAACGATGACTCAGCCTTGGAGCTGAGAATGATACCTACACCAGGTTGACCCGTGAGTGCTGCTTCGGCGTCTCCGGATGCGTGCAACCAATAACGAGAGAATAAGCCGGGTGCAGTTAATTCAATAACCCGGTTAGGTTCATTGGTCCTAGTTTCGGACACACAACACACATCAATACCCAGTGTGTCCAAGGTGCGTGCGAGCGCAGCCTGTTGACCTGTTTGTCTTAGAGTGCGAACGTTAATTGTCGCCATGGAAACGGGATAGTGTGGCCTTATAAGGGACTTTTGCCGATAGGTGTTGTGGGATGGTCGCTGCAGATGGTTCTACTCCAGTAGCACTTCGGTTGCTGTCAATTAAGCTGGGAATTATAGAAGGAAGGTTAGTAATGGGGGCCGGGATGTGAGTAAGGGAAAAAGGTGGAAAAGAAAGAAGGGAGGCGCCAGCAGTAGCATGTTTTCGCTTATCCGCCCTGTATGCAGCAGATAAGGCGACCCTTGATAATCTGCGCGACGGCCGATGCAGGATGAAGTTTGTTTGGAGAAGATGTCATGATTGTATGTGGGCTGAGATACTGCCAGGGCGCCCAGACCTAGACAGGAGAACAATTAGGGTCCTCGTCCAAAGCCTTTGGCTCAAAAGCCTATCCTCAAGGCAGCGGGGAGGTGGCAATGATTTAGTTTTATAGAAATGGACGCCATCCCATTTCAAACCCCCAACCTGGAGGACTAGGAGACTGAGTTTGTCTGACCTCTTACCACTGACCAACCTGGTATGGGTTGCTCTCAAGTTGCCCGGAGGCATCACCCAGTATAGCTCAATGAGTTACGCAAACCGTCGCACCACGTTAAGGTCCAGTCTCGTTGCGAACGGGGTAATTCCGAACCAACAAGCTGGCACCACGAGGTTGTCCGGCAAGCCACCCCGAGCTTTCGCCATCATTACTGGGGCACATTGATATCTCACTAGTGGGTCTAGGCTTCTCTTTTCGATATTGTTTAGTACAAGGAGAAATTACCTTCCAGAAAGTATTTGTCGATTGTCATTCCATTTTTTAACGCCAAAGGATACCCCGCGAAGAGCATTGTGGCGTCTGTTTGATCTAAACTGCTACTTGCATGTTTCTGCGGTGTCACTGATCTCTGTGAGAGACGAATCAGTGAAATTCAGGCCAGCTCCTGTTTCCGGAGGTTACGTTGACAACATTTTTACTTTTTGACAGTTGTTTGAACGTCATCGTTCTTATGAACAACCTATCACCTTAGTCTTGACTTGAATGCTGGAAGCTGTTCATTGGTTGATATACGTGAGTATCTGAATTACCTCTGGTAGCCATACCAAAGCTTAGGACACTTATGGAAACAGCGGAACGTGAGATTATTGATTGAGAAATTTTACGACCTTGAGCTACGGCCAGCTTTTTGTACAGATTAGGGACTGACCACCGCGCACTGAGGGCTTTAGGAGGCCGCATGTTTGTACACCAATTATTATGTAACGTTGCTGATAAGCTCAGATGATCGGCTAAAGTTCAGTCTGTTTCATTGGCTCATCTTAATCTGTATTAGTTTCTCCGTCTTTCCCTCTTGCGATATAATATTATCTGTTTGCACTAATCGATTGGACTCATTCCCAATAGGTTGTCATGGAACGAGAAGACTTGCACCCTTGCCCAATCTGTTCCGGCCCCGCCCACTATCGCCCATCCGAATGGCCAAATCGCCTTCATTGTCAATCCACCAGCTGCGGTATTTCAGTATGCTACGTCTGTCGCCGTGAACATTCACCCAGCGACAGATGTTCTGTTCGCAGCCCCCGGCCAAGACTCAGGTAATTAGCTTGTTTACCGTTCTCCATCCGACGCCCCAAACAGACAAATCCAAATGAGGATCGCACGAGTCACATCTGCTGCCATGAAATCCTTACAATGTTCTTTGTGTGGCCTGCGGACCGCTAGTTTGACATGTGTCTCACGTATAATCTTCCCTTCTTATTTCACTCACAGTGGGCGGTTTTCGTCTGCTGCATTTTGGATAGGGTACGTCTTGATTTTCCCGATGCCTCCAGGCGTCGCTGTAACGTCGGTATTAGACATTTTGACTTTCACCAAAACTGCCAAGAGCGGAATGCTCTGGTTGGTTGGTTCCCCGAAAGCTTTCGGCGCTGAATGCCTCCGACTGCACTTACGTCACATTAGAAACCCGTTTGATTGCTTCTAGTAGCTTGGACATTTCTAACTGTAACTGCGCGTGACTCGTCAAACTGGTCGAGGTCTGATATAAACGCGACATCCCCTTCGCTACTGACGGTGTCCTGGAAGCTTATAGCTACAGCGCCACGTCAAACAATGAACGCCCAAATAGCTGAATGCGTAATGCATCTTTTGATATCGTTCTCAGACATGCATCCTGCACTGGTAACGCACAAACCAACAGACATTGCGTTCTATCTGGTGCTTAGCTGTTAACACTCCCGGTTGATTTTAATCCTTTCTCCTAGCCCCTTTTCTCTGTATTCTGTTTTCATTTGGCCTCATTTTTCTCGCCAATTCAGGCGACGCGCCCCTTGGTAACTGCATTATTCAGTGCATTCCGCTGTCAGGTTGAACTAAAGTGAACAAGCTAACCGATCACTACAGGTAGATCAGACTCCTCGGTTAGATTGTTCAATAACTAGTTCATGGGCTTAATTGGAATAACAGCACAGTGCTATACGATAAAACAAAAAATGATGCCTGTTTCAACACTCTTTTAGGATGCCTTCTCCTGAATCGGACCCTCACAGTGCACCAACAAGGAGAAGATTAAACAAACTGGCACTGCGACGCTTGTGATCTGAACACGTGTTATTCTATGTACAGTTCGTTACCTGTTTTTAACAGTTTTATCTTGTTCTTTCAGTTCGACGTGTTAATAAACATTTTACCGTCTTATAGTACTGTTATTTGGTGACGAGAATCTGGTCACATGTAATGGCTGGCACCGGACGTTCCGGAAAGCTGGTGCACGGAATCTTAATTCTTTACCCTGACTTGATACCACATTTGATAAAATCCTTTCGGTACAGCTGGTGAAGTTGGAAACTAAGTCCAACTACCGAGCCGTATCAAGTGTGGAGGCGCTCATTGCTGAATGCAGTAGAAAATCGAAACGTGCACTGATGAAAAGATTTTGTCGCCATGCTGATAGCCAGGGTATCCTATGAAGTGCTGTTCCACACTATCCCCGACTCAGAGGTGGCAGTGATACTCGTTTATAGGAAACCAGCCGATCATAGAGTGCCATCATCCGTTCATCGTCTACACTCAGTGTATAGGGACTAGCTTCACCTGTTTGAGTATAAAGTAAACGGATACACGTGACCGCGCGCATAAGTTCCATATGCTTTTGTGACAGTTGTGCATTTCTCGAAAAAGTTATTGGTCCGTACCGTTTGACGATATGCAAGCATTCTCTACTGGTCGAGTGAACATCAAAACGATTAGTGCACGTGTTCAATTAGTTATATGCAGGATATTTTGTACACTGGCGTGACACAAAAGGCGATAAAATGGACATTTATACAGTGCTTACAGACAGTGATCCATGTCAACGTTCGCGGAGAAATAAGAAAAAGGAAATGGCTTGTTTAACTTTCGCTTCTTGTTTACGGGTTCACATGAATTTGGGGGGAGGCCAAAATGCCCTCCTCGATGTATGGGTGTGGATACAGGTGCGATCGTCGGGTTAGATGGTGCACTCGGTAATTCATCTCGTGTGCTTGACAAGGTTTCGTACAGCTGAACATTGTACAGAGTGTCCATTTCTTTTATAGTCTGGACTTCTTTGTCTTTGTTAATGCGCCGAAGAACTCGGTCAATAGTTTCGTCCAGGCGATTCATGAATTCGTAATCGGGAGCAACAATCGTAGGGGATCGCCTTTTGCCACTTTTTCCATTGATAGGAGTCGGGGTTTCTGTAAATATAAGAAGTGGGGCATTCATTTTAACGAAGGAGCAAGTAACTGCACACGTTAGGCAAGGTATCAACTATATATTAGTACCTGGCGTTTCGTTTATAAACGATCACAAACGACTCTGCCTGGGTCGGGATGTTGTCAGAAACGGGAATAGAATCGGGTGCGTAGTTTTTAAACCGGGAGCCTAGATCACGGTCTATGTAAGCAATTACATGAATGCTGTTGTGATGTAATGCAGAACCTGAACCTGTTTGCAGACGTTAACCTTCACTTGTTCCCTCTTTTAAACGTGTAAAGATGCAAGACCTTTGTATGGAACTATGGAGAGAGAAAAGCACGTATGTTATGGGAGAATGCAAAGACCAGGTGTTTTAACCGAACTATATAGGATACGATGTGAACGCCGAAAACTTACAGTGAAAAGGAACCTACGATTCATAGACGATCCACTCCGAATGTTAGTGGGAGTAACAAAGTCCGATGTTTTGTTGACAGCTAGAGGTTCGTGGTAGGTAAAAAAAAACTGAAACGACTTAGTCCCAATTTTCAAGAAAGATTCATCTTTATAATGAGGTAGTCGTAGAAGTATCATTCTGATCAATATCGCCTTCAAGTTGCCTCTATCGTCCTTCATATACTGACCATGGCCCGTGAAAGCCAGACTCGTGAAGAGCAAGCAAGATTTCGTAGAAATCGTGGCTGCATTGAGTACATCATTACTTAGGGTAGTGCCATTTACATTAGCGACCCATTGTAATCGCATCGCTCAACAGCAAGTGCCTCCTAATTATGGTGGACTGATGTGCTGTTTGGTGCTAATGAGAGCTTGGGACAAACTGTAGCCACTCTCCAATATATCCAGCGGTGAGACAAGGACACCCGTCGTCAATGTTCCCCTTCAATTTCGCCATTAAAGAAATAATTGGAGCTGTCTTCACCGGACACACGACTTGGAACGTGTGGCGCTGCTTCTAGGTGATCGACTTGGAGAATGCCGATATTGCCCCAAGTCGTGGCAGCTCAATCGTGCCAAGCAGCACTAGCTATCAGTCGTTGTTGGATCTACTTTGCTCATATTTAAAACTACAAACGTCGAAGATAACAAAAAACGTCCACGTATAAAAAACAAAAAATGTTTTATTCCATCTGCACTTCCCTTTTGATTCCTATGGTTTTTCCGATGGCTCCTTAGGTTGCTGCTATCTCCAAAACGCGAAGTTTCCGTCAAATATTGACAGTGATAAGCTAGAAGTCGGTTCATGAATTCAGCTGTATCAGCGACTGTGGAACAGAAGCTGAGATCACAAACCATATATCAAAAGCTCCTGCCAATCTTCGCTACTCGTGGTGTCGGCACGACATCACCTTCGCCCTGAAGAATAGCGTATACAATGCAGTCATCCGTTCAATCCTACTCCTACTGTACGGTTGGATAACCTGGGTCATCAAATAGACATACGAACAGAGACGGGTTTTGTCCGACTTTCGCTGCATTGGTACTGTGGATCATCGCTGGCAGGAACACTGCGTGGGCAATGAGTGTGCTCGCCGCCTTGTCCGTGGCTCAAAAGGGGCAAGTGAGCCGCTCAGTACCGATGCCGGACCCATGTGTTACGCATATGTTGTGGCTTGTGATCAATAGTTAAATTACTCAAAATAGAAATCGAATAAACTTCAATGGGGAGATCTTTCGTTAAGATAAAACATGTATCCAGGGTGCAAAAATATGTGGATCATATCACAGTTGATTTAGAAAAATTGCCATCGTGGCGAAATGTCATTGGCTAAACACTAGCGCCCAGAATAAGATTAGCTAGCCAGCTTCGGTGAGGAAAGTCAATCGATTTGGATGAAAGATACAGATACAGTGGTCAAGTGGAATGAAGGTCTCTGGTATTGGGCACTTGTTAACAAAGCGTTTGTTTTGTGAGTTTCTTTCTTCATCCCTAACCACGATTTCGTCCATGGTGCCTTCATTTTTCCTGTTGCAACTTATTGTACTGTATTGTGACGTGACGCGTAATAAGCCTTAACACACCATTCATGTGCGCCTAGTCAACAGCTTTTGACACCCGAAAAGCTTTCCTGTATGTACGTCAACGCTCAAGGCTTACTGAGTAAATCCTACGAAATGCGGCTGCGCCAAGGATCAAAAGCCTGTGACCTCATCGCTATAACGGAGACATGGTCACGCCCTGACATAAGTGACATGGGGATTGCACTTCCAGGCATGTCCAATGTTCGGCACGACCGACCCAGCAAAGACGGAGGGGTGGCTCTGTACTTTCGCAATGACCTCCAATGTGAGCTCATAGAGGATCCGGTCAGCACGACACAAGATTCTCTTTGGTGCTGTCTACGTATAAAAGGCGACGACACTTTCTTAGTGGCGGTCATTTACCGTCCTTCCTCCACGCTTGAGATGGACTCCCATCTGACATCCGCAATAAGAAGGGTGATAAACACTACTTACAGTCACATTTTCATTACTGACGATTTCAACATCCACGCTCTGGAATCCCAAGTAGCTCTCGGAGAACAGTTTAAGGCCGATCTGCAAGAGTTTGTCCCCAGTTACCCGCTGTATGGCCACATCAACACTCCCACCCGATTCCGAGAAAAAGATAAGCTTTCGATACTGGATCGGATATTCACCAACGGAAAACATGGTTGAGAGGGTGATCGCCAAAGTCTCATTCGGCCGCAGCGATCATGCTGTACTAGTCTTCGAATACATTTGTGTTAGGGGAGGCAGACCCGAACTCGATCGGATAGAGCGTTCAGCATTCCGGTTCGAAGATGATTCGCTTGTCTCATGGTCGTAACCTTGCTTCAACCAATGCGTTTTACACATTTACAATTTCAAGGTCACTGTGTAGGAAGGCTCTATAAACTAATGAAATCGTCTCCTATGTACCTAGTTTTGTCTTCTCGCAAGTGGGTGTTCTTGTTGACGTCTTTCGACTTCTGTCCTGGGCATATACCTAGGAGGTCACAACAGATTTTTCTGGCGCTGGAATACAATTGCGAATAACTCGCAAAGATGTCATTTTCAATGGAAGAGCTCACCTTGATCCTGCAGCAGCAACAGAAGCTATCTGCGGAATCACAAGCACGGCTGATTGAAACGCTGTCGCAAAATTGAATGTCCAGTCACCCAGAACTTACAGAAAGCAGTCATCTGTTGATGCAATTTCAGGAAGCATCACAGAATTCAGCTATGATCTAGACGCCGGATGCATTTTCGAATCTTGGTTCAGGAGAGATGAAGATACATTCCGGACAGAGCTGGTTGATATGATGACTGGAAATCACGGTTGCTTCTGCGAAAGCTTGGGACCAAGGAACACGAGAGATTTGTAAATTTTATTCTTTCTAAAAGTGCGAAGGAGTTTAAATTTGACGAAATCGTTGAATGGTTTAAAGAGATCTCTGGGGAAGTGTCCTCTATGTTTAATGTGCAGCATTTCTGTTTGAAATCTGTCAAAAGTGACTGTGATGATTTTGTGTCTTATGTGGTGTTCGTGGTCTTCAATCGTCTTGTGACTCAGAGATTCGTACTCGCTTATTCAGTAAGATGGAGCAGGATCCTAGCATGAATCTGAGATCAGTTATTTCCGAGTGCCACCGTTTGTTGAACCCAAAACACAATACTGCCATGATTGGGCAAGAAGCAGTCCCTAGCTCCAGTAACGTGCATGCTGTGACCTCAGCAAAGGCCACTAATTCCTCTAGAAGCGGCACCTTCAACAAACCCCCAAAGGCCTGCTGGCAGTGTGGTGGTTGGCAGTACGTCAGACTGTGCCCATTCAAAAAGCACCGCTGTCAGAAATGTCACAAACGAGGACACAACGAGGATCTTTGCCGCGCAAAGAAGGGAAGACCCAGTCCAGTTAGTTCAGAAAAGCCGGACAAAAATCTATGTACAAGATAAATCCTGGTATGATTACGTTCGACACGGACGCAAAACATCAGTATATATATATATATATATATATATGTGACTGTACATATCAACAACACTTGTGCGTCTCCAGCTTGATACAGCATCTGATATTACTTTATTGTCACCAAGCATATGGAAGATAATCAGTCAACCTACTCTAAAGACGACAAATCGTACAGCGCTGGATGATTCCGGTGGAGTTCTGAAACTCACAGGTGAACTTATGTGCTTTGTGTTTTTCAATAATATGCAATTCTGTACTGTGTTACCTTTCTGATCGATCAAATCTAAACCTTGATTGGATCGCGAAACAAGGCTTTTGGACGTCTCACTTAATTCTGTGTGCAACCAGTTGTGTGTTCAGTCTGTGCTCAATCCCCTTAGGAATGTTCTGTCAGAGCGTTTGCGTCATAAATTCGCTCAAGTATTCCGGGATGAGCTTGGTTGCTGCACGAAAACCAAGGCAGTATTGTTCCTCCACCCCCATGCATTAACTGTCTTCCGACCCAAACGTCCCGTTCCATATGCGGAGTTACCAAGCGTTGATCGGGAATTGAAGAGACTGCAACAGCCTGGCCTTCTTAAACCTGTGAATTACTCCTCATGGGCTGCTCATATTGTGGTAGCCAAAAAATCAAATGGCAAAATCCGATTTTGTGCAGACTTCACTGGTCTGAATGCTGCTCTGTAAAGTCACCAATATCCGTTGACTCTGCCGGATGATTTGTTCGTAAGGTTACATGGTATTAAATGTTTCGACAAACTGGACTCGTCGGACGCATACCTCCAAGTGGAAGTTTCTGAGGATTCACAAGAGCTGCTGACTATCAATACTCACTGCGGTCTTTTTCGATACACTCGCCTACCATTTGGAGTAAAAACGGCACCTGCCATTTTTCAACAGATCATCGACACCATGTTACAGGACGTCCCATCTGTGCAGCATATCTTGACGATATCGTTATCATGGGCACTGATCCAGCGGATCTAGAGAAACGAATTGAGAACGTGCTTGATCGAATCCAAAATTATGGCTTTCGCCTGAGAGAAG